GGAAGGGAAGGGAAGGGAAGGGAAGGGAAAATATTGTTGCCACCTCTTGCAAACTGTGACCATCATCACCACCAGCCACAACAGAAACACAAAGCAAACTCCAAAGCCACAAAAAAAGCCGTGTGGAAACACCAATACCTGAGTCCCTTCTTAGGCAAAGTGTTCCTATCAAGATGTGGGTCGCTGCAGAGAAGTTAAAAGAAAAGAACTTCAGAGAAGAACAAATGGGAAGGCATCAGATCAGGATGAAGGACGTACAAATACCTGCATCACCTTTTCAGAGGAAAAGGTGCTGGGGCCTTCCTACAGAAACATGCAAAAACCTCCTTTGCCAGGTGTGGATTTGCACAAACATGCATCTGGTACTATGCCAATGAATCTCATCTATTCACAATGTGATTTTGCTATTTCTCCTACCCGAAATAAACAAAAATGGCTCTTTAAACGTCAAGCTTAATACTGTGCTTTTCAGCAGGCATGAGGCAGACTGTTTGTGAAAACTGATGAGACTCTTCAAGTCCAAACCACCTTCCTGTCATTTCTTTCAGCAGACACCATTTAGGGAATGCAGCTAATTACTGTTATGCAGCTGCAATGTACAGCAGTAAAAGTATTGAGCCCAGACTCTCTCAATTTCCAAATCTCAGCTTAAATTCCATTAACAAAGCAAATTGACTCTATCATCCAAACCTCAAATATTTAAGTTTATATTTTCACAACTGGTGAACTTGTAACTAAGCAGAATTTGTTAGTTTGTTTTTTAAAGAAAATATCCAGAAAATATCTGGTTAAATGATTCATTTCATGACAATCCTTATAGCTAAACTACAGCATGGGACTAATTAAAATCATAGCAGTAAGCAAAAGTGAGATAGAATGTTTGGATTTGGGTCATCTTTTCCTAATTTTAGCATTCATCTTTAGAAGGATAGGTGTACCCAAGTCCCTGCGGAACACTCATGAGCCAAACTGCAATAGAAGACTGACAACACGGAATGATATGGGGACTTAACGACAAAAACGACAGGCCTGAAAGGCAGTGGGAAAAGCAGCATGCCAGAGGAATGCTGAAATGCTAGTGAGAGTTTGGATTGGTAGAAAGGAAAAAGGGCAAGATTTTCAAATTGCCTTTGGAAAAGAAAGGAGGGGGAGGAAAAAAACACTTCCCCCCAAATTAAAAGATGTTCCCAGTAACAAAAGCAACACCAAACCCATGACAACTCTGCCATTCTCCAGACTGATTTAGGCAGACAGATGAGGTGTTTGAGGGGACTCTCACTGGCATGTCTTTGTGTCAGCTCACACCTGAACAATGAACACAGCAGAGAACTCAAGTGAGCACAGTCTGTCACAAAACAATTTGCTTCACTGAGATGGCCAACAAAACCTACAGCCTTGTGCATACTCCTGTCCTGAGACAGCATTACCTGTCCTGTCTCCTGGGCAAAGTATTTCGGCAGAATTTGGGGCTAGCAGCAGGGGAAGAAAGAGGGCTAGAAGAACCAGTCCAACAAGACAGAAAACAAGAGAAGGAATATTAGAATGAAAAGAGAACAGAAAGGAGTTATAATAAAGCACAAACCCAAACCCAAACTCTCAGAATACTATATTTGGCAGTAATTTTCTCCATTGAGATGCAACTACAGAAACGTTGCTACCTGACTGTGTAACGACACATCAGGATAAAGCCAACTTCCAATGCTTGCAAGGGTACTACTGCCTTCTACAAAATGTGTCTCAAAGACCATGCACTGCAAGTCATTGTCTGGTTTATCCCAATGTTAGCTCAATGTTAATACAGCTCTGACGTTGAAAAAGCAGTCCTGTTCCCTCCTCCCTGCTCAGTCTGTTCCCAGCTCCTACTCTGTGTGTCCACACAGGTACTGATAAATCTCATTGTGTAAGGAGCTGGGGAACTGATCAGTCTGAAACACAACTCACATGATCATTTTTCAGCTGGATCCAGCTCCCAGCTGGGTTCACTAAGCATTCACACGAACGCCTGTACCAAAACACTGTAGGGAACAACTGGAGAAAGGACAGGGCGGCAGTGGGAGGCTGAGAAGGGATTAAATGACTAAGGAAACAGGGACATCTCTTTTCAGCACGACCTCCAGTTTAAAAGCTTATCAAATGTTATAAACAAGAAGTTTAAAAAGAAACAGTTGGCTTCTCAAATCAAAATAACAATAACAATGGGTGGTTTTTTGAATATCACTATCAAATCAACTAATGGGAGATCTTTTTAAGGATAACAGAGGATGCAAAATTCAAATATTGGGTAGAAAGAAAACCTGTCATATTGGCTACCATGGCAAATTAAAAACCTCACCTGAACTCATCCTCTTGGTCTGAACTGGGCTCCTTGCCCGGAATGGTTTCTTTGTATGTTCTAATCGTACTATTCAGCATCATCTTTTGAGAAGCACAACTCGATTTCTATCTGCAGCACTGGCTACTGCTGCCAGGTCTTCATTCACATTTGAGATACAACCAAACATTATGGAAATGAGAGAAACCCCACTAACCTTTCAGACAAGGTGGTCTTAACACTGTTGGTTCGGACAAAGGGAGTCAGAGAATCATCTTTAGAGGCTGGAATCAAGCCACTGGAAGAGTTATGGCTCAGACCACCTCCACTGCTGAGAGAGATATCAATGGATTCACAGCTGGTATGAAGACTGCTGACAGACTGATATCCAATGCCATCCTTGCTAACAGCAGAAGAGCTACTTGCGTTGGTACCCCACGTTAAACTGTTGGAAGGAGCTGAATGGGCTGAACTGGGACTAGAAGCTAATGGAGATTGGTTCAGATCTGTGTTTTTACTATACAGCGGACTGCTGCCCCCACTGCTCAGTATACCACTGCCAGATGGCGAATCCAGATTACCCTGCTGGTTCATGGTAGCGTGAGGATTGGAGATGACTACTGAGTTTTTCATATTTTCAGCTGTTGTGATGGGAACTTGCTTATTAGGCTTGCCACCGAAAAGTCTGGAAGAAAGACAACACAAAAAATACATAAAATGGACTCTGAAATGCAACGGTATTTTATATCTAGACCATATATCTTCTTAGCTTCAGAAAACCAAGATTAAGCAACTGATTCTAGGTTGGACATATGCAACTATAAATTTATGACCCCCCTGTTTTCACTCCACCTCCAATAAAGCCCAGAGATAATTATGAGAGCTTTAAATCTATCTTAGGTGTGCCTACTCTGAATCATGAAATCCTACTTTCACAAAGCTAAAATCCAGCTTCAACAGAACTAAAATACAGCCAGATCATCTTCTGCTCCTTTAAGGAAAAACGATACCAGAGAAACACTGTACCGATTAATCTGAAGCATGGAATATTACAAAAGTTGAAAGCTTGTCCAGGTAAATTCTGTGCAAGTCACCAAATGCTCTCTACAGAAGCAGCATTTGTTGTGATGTAACAAGAAAACTATGTACCAGTATCAAATCTAGGTTTGTCTCATTTCAGGAGCCAAGATAGCTGGAAACTATTAATTTTTGAGTGTAGAATGAGATTTTACCTGCTTTGGCACCTGGAACTAGCTCAGTAAAAGATTAGCTGAGTGCCAGAACTAGTGCAATGAAGGGGATACAAAAGCATAGTTGGAGAAGGATGACTGCTGCATGTCCAGTTTGAATCACTGTTGCCTGTGATGCAGCTGCACTGCCAACGAAGAACGGACTTCAGTTCCCTCATTAACAGGTAACAGGAAAGTTCTCAGTAGTGCAAAGTTGTCTTTCTCAGAAGTAAACACGCTTCAGACTAGATTATTAATCATTCCAGGACTGATCCTCAAAATTACAAAGGAAGCATTACCTTTTGACTCTAGCTGCAAACATCCACCCCCAAACATTGCTTCTGCTTCTGCCGCCGGGCTCCTTAGCCCTTAGTTCCTTAGCTTCTGCGCCTTTGCAACCTTAGTTTTCCTCACACATACCAATATGGATTTGCTTCTTTCTTACCAACAGCGTGGCGTATTGGGGATGAAATCTTCCAAAGGGGGTATCTATCTCAGAAGGTAGGTCTCAGAACAGAGGACTACAGCACAAGAGCTCCTACAGATTTACAGGTGGGTACGCACCGAGCACAACTTTCTATGTTTTGAGTATGCCCAGGTTGTCTGTACAACCCATGCACACTAAGGCACTTTGTCCAACACTTCTCAGGAACACAAGCCTCGTAACAAGCTGGGCACCCTGCACACACGTGCAGTAAGCCCAGTGATGCCCACAAGCACTGTACTTACTGCACAGGTGCTACCTGCAGCTCCAGAGTACCTGTGCAAGATACCTGGAACACATCTCAAGCGGACGGCTGCTGTTGCATGGTTGCCACAAAGGACCTGGACAACACTGCTGGATCAGGCTAAGATGCACATCTATGCTTATTTCATCATCCAGCATTGCTCTGTGCCATGATCCTCTCAGCACCTGGTGCTGACAGACATTCCTGGTTTACCTGGACGTGACACCATGCCTCACTGATTAGGAGACACTGACTTAGACAAGTCAGTCTGAATGATAAAACCCATTCCTACAGGGATTTAGAGACATTTTGAGCCTAGGGTTTATTTAGAGTTAATCTTACTAGAGTATGAAGGAAAATGTCTGACCATGGCCTGCAGTGGCAATACCAGTTTAGGGTATTCCTGCTCCTATGCCATTGGACGGGGGGCACTGTACTCTTATGAGATATAATCTTGGAGCTTAAAAAAACCCCAACCACTCACAAAACAATTTTACAAGCTGTTTTTAAGCTATGCAGCTTCACAACCTCTAACTGCTTCACAGCCCCTCTAATACAACCGAAAGGATGCTGCACTGTGGCACCAACAGAAACATGTTGCTGCTGCAAGCAGTGTCTGGTTGAACCACAACCTCGTAACAAAACACATTCAGATGCGGTCTGAAGAGCATTCCTTTGAGTCCAGAGAAAATCCAACTCAGCAAGACAGTCACATTAACACAGAGATTAACTCTGGCAGGATATACCCTACAAAGAAGGGTATCTGTTTACTCCTATCTGCTATTACTGACATCGATATGTCTGAGCTGACTCTTGGGTCATGCATGTCTCCCATAAACAGAAAAGCAGTGTATTACATACTGCAAATTATTAAGGCCCAATTAAATAATAAAATATATAAATGATGGTTTTGCTTAAGGGACATGCCCGATACATAATACTGGAGCTAAAGGGAATACTGAACAGAGAAAGGCCCCCGTAGCAGAATTATAGAACTTCTTTGTGACAGCATAAAAGTTACATACATTTACAGACTTGCATGTAACTTAGTATCATTACAAAGATATGGTTTCTAATTTACTGGGTAATAATAAAAAATTCACAGGGCCTAGAGGAAATATACAAAAAACACGGGCAACTCATCTCAACTGACTCTGAAAATTAAGCTCCAAATCTGTATTCCCATTCTAGAAATCAGTAATAAGCAGATGAGGCCCAATTCAACTTTAATGCATTTTGATACGTGACAATTTAGACAGTCTGGTGACAAACCAACAGTGAAATTGTAAATCAAAGGAGGGAATAGTTAAATTGAGCCTCAGTGCCTTCTCTTTGAAGTTTCATGTGTTTCTAATCTGGACTTGATCTTAAAGGTCTTTTCCAACCTAGCTGATTCTATGATTCTAATTTACCATTTCAATTACATAGCTAGCAATGTGGCTTTCTAGTAATAAAAAAAATTAATTTCCAACCAAATGTCAAGATTAACGTGGCTGAGGCTTGCAACACTGAAAATCAGCATGTTTCATGGGGTGTACTATAGAAATAAAAATGTCTATTGGAGTTTTTCTCTTTAAGTAGACACTAATGGAAATTAAATGTTCTAAAGGACACGGCTTATCTAATGATAACCAGATATAAAGTATCTTGAATTGCCCTCACATAGGCTCTTTAAATAAAACCAGCCATCTAAAAAGAAGCAGTTTACAACTCTTCACAGCATTAGCCTAAGCTGCCATCCCAGCCATTATGCTTGCATTGGTGCTTCAGATGGAATGGGGCTTTCTCACATCACTGGAAGCAGGATGATGTAGCATAACTGTATGGGTATTATGGGCGTCAAGACAAAATGAAATGCAAAACACTGCAACTTGAAACAGACAAGCTCCTTGATGTCAAATTCCACTGAAAAATAATATTAATGGAACCTTTCACCAGTATCAAGGCTTTGATGCACACTGGATGAACAAATTAATTCCTGACCAACTCAGTGTTATGTGTGGGGTAGTTGTGGAGAAATAGACCAGAGAGAAGATTTTTGTTTAAAAGCATCTAAAAATAAGAAAATTCAACCCAACTTAGGCAGTAACTTCTCTTAGGGTTCTTCTACACAGATGAATAACCTGATGTTGAGTTCTGCAAAACACTGGCCTAATGCACACAGCTGAAAGATTGGTTTGGGTTAGGCATGTGAATCTAAGTATCGCAGGTCAATTTATGCTGTTGTCATCATGGAAATCTGAAATACTCTCCTGTTGTCAAGTTATAATTTGATCCACCATTGGAATATTTCCAGGTTTGTTACATATACATTGGTGCAAGAACTCTTTGGTCACCTTCACATAAGAAAACTTATTCCTTCAGCATGGATGAAGCTTTCAGGTACGATTTTTGTAACACACTCATAAAATCACAATTGCCAAACTTTTTTCCTCCCCAAATGTTCAATTTTCACTGCTGTTGCATGATGCACCGAGTATTTACAACACTGGCCAACCTGTTTATGTGAAATTCAATGGAAATACAAAGACCTTGATGTAGGACACTGAATAGTAAGTGCTCCACACAACACAGCCAGCCTTGGCGCGGAGACTCCTGCTCTCATTCAGCTTGGACTAACATCATTGCACGATCAACAGATTCAGTGCCTACCTGCGCAAAGTGGGAGAGGCCACATCGGGGTACTTGGCTCCTTGCTGGTGAGTACTTTGAGCTCCGCTAGAAGCAGTCTGTGATGCAGGATTCACTTTAACAGAATTACATGAGGCCACGCTTTCGTTGTCAGACGAAATCCCTTTCTCTTTATCAGTCTGATTGACTAATCCTGGCAGAGAGTTTCCAAGGATTACCTTGGCAGGCTCTCTCATTTTTGGGACAGGCAACCCGGCTGACTTGCTGCTTATGTTGGAGTCAATGCTACTTGTGCTAGATCTATTCCCAGCTCCACTTCTGCTACTGGATTTACTGGGCCGGGGTAAACTACGATACTGAAGATTAGTTCGGGCACTAAGTGCTAAGTAGCCATCATCCTGGTTCTGGGAGCCATCCACACTAGTCTTCCGACCAGTGGTCCTACCCATGAGTCCAGATGACTTTGGGATTTTTCCCAGAGTAGCTGATCTACTGGTGATCGTTGCCCCACTGGCAGTGATTATAGTCATGCCTACGGCTGACCCGCTCTGTTTCTTAAATCCAAATGTATTAGCATTAGCAGCAGTTGTTCTAGTGTTACTTGTGGGAAGCTTTTTGGATTCATCACCACTGCTGCGTCCTGCATCTGATGGGGAACGTTTAACATGTCCAGCTTTAGGAGATAGTCTACCCTTTTCTGATA